GAATTCGGGGCAGCTGAAGATAGTGCGGTCAGGTGGGCTGGGGGGTCAGGGAGCACGGAATGGTAGTTTACCGGGGGAGCAGCAGCAACTGATGCGTAGGATGGACGCAGCAATGCCGCGTGGGTGTCGCTGGGAGGCACGGCAGCAACTTCAGGGTACGTGGGTATGGGGCGTGAAGCAGGTGGCTGTACGGGTGCAACGCCGGTCAGCGATGTAAGTTCCTCCCTGACGATGTCACGCAAGGGCACTCCCAAGACTGTGTAGGACGTGGTGTAGGAGGTGTGAAGCCCATAGACCGCAATTCTTCACGTATAATGTCCCAGATGAGATCACGCAGGTGGCCGTGAGACGTAGAGTGGTGGTCGTCAATGTCCGGTTGGAGGCGAACAGAGTCCAGCGTATCAAGGCGCTGGCATGTCGTCACGACATCAGTGATGGTAGCTGGGTTTTGCCCAGCAAGTGCATTAAAGGCAATAGGCCCAATGCCTTTCATTATGTGGTGCACTTTGTCCGATTCCGGCATGGATTGATTGACACGCCGGCACAGTGCGAGGAAATCCTCGATGTATGAAGTGTATGATTTACCGGGATGTTGTCGGCGAGTGTCAAGTGTTTTCTTCGCGACGGCGGATCGAATGTCCGGGGTCCCAAAAACGTGTGGCAGCTGCTGCTGAAAGGTAGCTTAGTCGGGTAGGTCAATGACATGGTTAAAATACCATGTCTTTGCCACTCCGGTCAGATAAAAAGGGACGTAACGCAGTTTGGCGGCCTCGTCCCACCGATTGGTGACACTTACGCGGTCGTAGTCCTCGAGCCAGTCTTCTACGTCTTCTCCACAAAGACCAGCGAAGAGCGGGAGCTCCCGCTGAAGTCCATGTATGTAAATAGGAGGGGCAGCTTGCATCGGTGCGTGGTTGATGACATCAGCTGCGGTAGGCTCGGTCTGGGACATGCTGGCTGACAGTGGGCGCAATCGGCAACCTGAACGAAGCTCCAGCGGGTAGAGCGGGCTACGGGAGGTAAGAGGACCGAAAATCCACCTCCACCACGTATGAAATCTTGGTAGTCTTGGCTGCGACAGCGTTTAATTGAGGAAAGACCTCGCAAAATGAACGGGCAGAGCCAGTACACAGACGATGACGATGACCCAGAGTGGCAATGAGGACAAAGAGACAAGCGGATGATGGTTATTGTGATCATGCAGGGATGAGGACGATGTAACAAATGCCCACAATATATATATATATATATATATGAAAAGGCAAGAAACAAAAAATCCAGAAAGAAGACTTCGGGGCGTGGAATCGAACGTGGGACTTCCACGTTGTGAATGCGGGGCGTTAACCATTGAGCCCCCAAGCGGCACCTCCAACGTTCATACGGCAAGCTATTTATACCTACCACTTACTGCGGTTGGCGGGCATCTCATGAGGGGGGAGAGAACCATCAGCAAGATGGCGCAATGAGCACGTGGCGGCTCTCTCGCATGCCCTTATCTCCCGGTGGGGAAGATTATAAGTCTTGGCTTTGATTGATTGATATGTGGGGTTTAACGTCCGGAAACCACCATATGATTATGAGAGACGCCGTGGTAGAGGGCTCCGGAAATTTCAACGACCTGGGGTTCTTTAACGTGCACCCAAATCTGAGCACACGGGCCTACAACATTTCCGCCTCCATCTGAAATGCAGCCGCCGCAGCCGAGATTCGATCCCGCGACCTGCGGGTCAGCAGCCAAGTGCCTTAGCCACTAGACTACCACAGCGGGGCTATAAGTCTTGGCTGGCGTTGAACTTGCAATGGAACGATTCTTTTATAGTTACGGAGCGCACAAAGGTCACCGCTATCATTGCACAACCTCCGTTTGCGAGAAAGGCGCCCTCTTCCAACACAACAAAGGAACAAAAGAGGCTTATTCGCATTTATCTGTACCTGTGAGTATGTTGCGTGAGAAACGCGGGGCACGTTCCGATCTGCTTGCCATTCTGTGCGTGACCTTCCAATTTGTTGCTATCGCGTTCAATGCTTCGCCTTTGCGGCAAAGCCGTGACTTTTAACGCAAGTGTGTTCATTACACGAGTGATTACGGCATTCGGCCTTTTCAGTGCTCCAAGGTCGACGGTATTCGAAGCGCTTCACACAAGCCTACTTCTGTTGTCTTCTCTAACAATTTAATTATTAATGTGAAACTCTTGAAAGGACAGTAGGGTTTTCAAAAATACCTCAGAGCCTAACCTCAATTACCATATCTCACTAAAGCAAAGCATCCCAATTAATTTGTTTGTTAAATATTACCATGTTTGTTAGCCATAACAATGATGCTTTCACATATATATGAATGGAAACAAACCAGTCATATTGAGCTGACTGAAGCTGATCGTTCCAATTTTTATTTGCAAGGCACTCCGCATAATTTTACAGTAGCAAGGCAAACAAAAGCACCATACACTCATACGTCTATATAACAAAAACGGATATAACTAAATATTTGTTATAACAAAGTACCATATTTATTCCCTTAATCCTCACACTTTTTTCCCAGAAAAACCGTTAGAAAGTTGGGGGTGCGATACTTATGTGGGGATAATTTTCCACGAAAACGTACAGCGCAAGAAAAAAAAAAAAAAAAGACGGCCACCAATCGCAGTTTTTCCGCCAGAAACTAAAAGCTTCAAGAAGTGGTGATACAAGGCTTACCTTTACAATGAAACTACATGTTCAACCCACATTAAGGTTTATCTTCAGACTAAATCCACTAGCTAATAAGTTTCTTGGGCGAACTACTCGGAGCCTGAGTCAAGACTGCCATCTACGTCACTCATTGCAGCGCCATCGGAGTCATCGCCAGCTTCAGCATGGTCTCCCTCGTCGTTTTCATGGACCACGTCATCTTCCGTTCCTTCCAAGGCATTGGAGATCCCAGTCTTCTTAAGCTGCGGACGATAATTTCAAGCAAAATCATGAACCATGCCTTGATTACCAAGAACAAAGGAGCTCCACCGACGGCTTCTTTATCTTGCACCCGGGGGTCATGGCATGGTACCCTTCGGCCATCAATTCTGAATACAGCCTCTGAACATTATCCTTGAACAGCTTGTTCAAGGATACGTCTAGAGGCTGCAACATCGAAGTCAGACTGCCTGGAAAGACAGTGAGGTCAGTCCGCAGCCCCCTAAGCTTCGGCCGAACGAAGTCGACCAGGCAACTGCGGAAGCTGTCGACTACCAGCAGCGACGGGTAAAGAAGCGCTCCAGGGCGGCGTCCCCAAACAGTTTTTACCCAGTCGACCATAAGGTCAGCGGTCATCCACCCTTTTTCCTGCACACGTACGTACCTGTATTCCAGGGGGAAACTTGGCCTCCGGGAGGGTCTTCCGCTTAAAAAATAATAAATGGGGGCAGCTTCCGCCTGTCCTCTGTTACGGCGATAAGACGGTGCACCTCTGATTCTCGGCACCCATTGTAATATGCACACTCCGCACACCCTTCTGCTCCACAGTTGTGCTCTGCGGCATGTCAAAGTTGAGCGAAGTTTGATCCGCATTTCCGATTTGCAAGAGCAGGAAGTTCTTTTGCTCCCGCATCCTAATGACATATCAATGAAAATCGATGATCTTCTCTTCGTACACCGAAGGTAACCGTTGACACAGAGTCGTCCGTCTCCTGAGTAAGAGTTCACTTCGGTGCATGAACCGTGTGGCCCACCCGTTGCTCGCGCCGCAATCTCCCGCCGAGATGCCTTCCTTCAGGCATGCGCGTCTGATTTCTTAGCAGCTCGATCACAACGGCACACCCGTCCACACGTAGACTTGATGTAGTCCAGTAGTGCCGCCTCAACTAGTGGGTATCTTCCAGTCTTAGGCCCACGGAAGGCCTTACGTGACTTGTTTGTGGCTTTGAGCTGCTCGTGCTGCCGTCGCCAGTAGCGCACACAGAACTCATCCACGCTGAAGTGCCAGCCGGCAACCCTGTTGCCATGTTCCAGATCACGGTCGATAACCTTTACTTGAAAGCAGCTGTATAGCTCCTGTATCAGCTCATTACGCAGCCGCTGAAAGGACGATGCTACACACGGATCACTACAGCGCTACCACAGAACACTGAACTAGTAACACTAAAAACGCACGCCATGCCACAAGGGCTACTACGCAACTTGTGGCTTGGTTTGGATTGAATTAGGGCTCCGTTCTAGCAAGTTAGTAATTGTTCCTCTTCCCTTTTGACACAGGGCAGGCATTTCATGTGCCGCAGGAATAAAAATAAATAACAAATAAATAAATAATTGGTCTGTTTGTCTAATGGCCAGGCGTCAGAGTTTCCTCAATGCGCGTACACACACTAAAACATACACACACACAAGCAACCGCTCAATAGTTTAGTGAAAGTCGAGCCGAGCCAAGGCAAGCCGTGTTCCGCACCTGCTCTTTGAAAGAAGTAATACCATGACCTGCTCCAGTCACGTGGTTTAAACTTGGATGTTTACATGTTGGGTCACTTTAGTTTGCCACCAACTCATCGGAACCGGGTGACGGGTTGCCGGTGTGCGGGGTTGAAAAGAGGAGGGTGTGTGGGGCGTTTCCCTGGCCGGTGTGTTTTCGGCCCCTCTGTTTTCGGCCCCTCTGCGTAGCAGGAGAGTCTTTGTGGAATTTACCCGGTCGCAATGGGTGTCATCAGCATGCATAATGCGTAAGAGGCGGCTCTAGGCTAATGGGTGCTATCATCATCATTGGCTAAAAGTAGCAGACGACATCTGCTGCTGCAATTTTTGTGATGCGATAATTACACAAGGGAAAAACGCATTTTTGTTGGCTGATGCTGGGGGTGCGAGAACCACGTGAATGCGAGGATTATGAGAGTAAATACAATAGATGAAAAACAGTTTTGCAACTGATACAATGCTACAAACAACCTTTATAACAAATATTTGGGTATAACGAACTTATTTTCTTGCAAAGATGCAACTTTGTTATAATGAGGTCTGAGTGTATATGTTTGAATTACCTAGTCATAGGCACCACCTCAGAGTTTCCATAGTCCACATAAAACACCTCCACGTTGGCGCAGCTCTGTCTGAAGCTCGTCCCGTCAACGACGCTGATGTCACTATAGGCCCTGCGCTGCACTCGGCAACGGTACCAGTTGTTGTCCATAAGGAATTGTGCCAAATACATGCCGCCTGCAAAGAGGCATGGCCCCGTAAGACAATGCACAAATTGCTGGCACACAATAAGATTTTTTCATATTATGATAAAGCAGGAACTGGAGAATTAAGACAATAACAGCATTATCTATAGTTAGATTGTAATCATTTTAACACCAAGCACAGTCTTCAGCAAGAAAGACATTCAACCAATCTGCGTGACCACATTGCAAAATTCACTCAGGAGCCATCTTTCCGATGGCACCGTCTTCATTTCGTGCATGTCATGAATCATTTGACGACTGGCTTAACACAAACTTTGTCAGAATAATTATGTTAAAAGAGCCTTCAGAACGATCAAGAAAGTCTATGGCTTCATTTAATTTTCTCCCTAATTTTACTTTGCTTTATGTGCAATTCAACCTTTTTTTTTTCTTACTGCTATATGTTTTTACTTGACTGCAAGCAATCATTGCCAGCATTTTACACCACAGTACCCAAAAGTGTGCTGACATAAACCGTGTTACTCGAACGTGGCAAGCATTAGCAATGGTCTATAGTGAGCACCATCCAGTCACCACCTTGGACATGAGCTGTGCTGCCAAAACCAATGTGCTGCATTATGACTGCACAGCGTGCACTATACCATAAATAAAGCTTGCCGCTGTTTGGGTCTCATTCGACGCAAATAGTACTTACGTATCTTAGCTTATAACTCTACCTGTCATTGCATTCGTTTCATCATGTAACCCCTTTTAACACCATGCTCCAACCAGGAGCTTGTAAGTTCTGGCAAAATCAATGAGAAACCACCAAAGAGCGTTCACGAAGACCATGCATGAGTCACCATGACAATGCGGTTCTCACCGACTTCGATCTCATCTTCTGACTGTAACTTAGAGTCTTGCGTCATGCAATAATTGTTGATTTCATTTTGCAATCGCTGCAGCTTGGTGGCAGAGGCACACAGCTGCACGTAGAAGTTGGCAGGATCACGAATGTGTGACACCATGACTCGCTTGTTGTCCACTGAAAAAAGAAGGTGGGGGGAGGAAAAGGGGGCAAAAAAAATTTAAACACGCGAGCTACCACTTTGTACATACAGAAGCCCTCACTCCGAACCGTTTACACCATCAAGCAGCTTTCAGCACAGTTTCCCATTTCATGAGCATGCATCTGCCATAAAAACAAGCCATCCATTGATAGGGCCTCGTCTCTGAAGCTGTAAAGAAGACATGATGCGAGCGCACTAGAAGGATATACAACTTGCCCACAGTGCACCTTATTCGGTTACGCAAATATAACTTCTGCCACAACATGCAAAACAACAAAAGTTACAAGTTATCAGGCAGAGAGCAACACAGCCTAAACATCAAAACATGGGCAAGCCCAATACAGCTATAAATACTAAACGTGCCACGTGAGTACCGAGCTAAACATCAAATGTAACAAGTAGATAAGTGCTGCATTCAACATAACGACTTGAAATCCACTATTATGTTTAAAAAAGAGTTTATGCCGGTCGCAAACTCCATTTCACATAATGAAGCCACGTTAGGCCGAATGACCTTTAGCTTTGCTTTGTTTTTCTGTAACTTTCCAGAAATAAAAAAAAAGCATACATGGTTCAGCTACAGGTCTTTTCTGAAGCAGCTCGTCACTGGAGGTGCTTGGTACTGGTGACTGCTCTTCCAAAGGCTGCCTCTCATTTGTGAATTCCGATTCAAGATCTGTTCATGATAGATCAAAATAAATTTGAGGACACAAGATACAGTTGAAACCCGCAAATGACAAAATCGACAAGGAAAGCAAAAAAAAATCACTCGAGAGAATTTCGTAGGCATGAGAGTGTGACAGTAGAGACATGGAATCGACTAAAAACACATTTTACTGCCAAAAGTCAACCTGTTTACTTTGCCAAGCCTTTCCTGCTATTCTCAGAACCATGTGAACACCACTTTGTTCGTAAAAGTAGCAGTCGTCGCAGTTTGTTTCTTGCTCTCACACCGTTCTCAAGCACACCTAGATAATCATGAATAGCAAGCTGCACGCAATGCCGAATTTGTCGACTAGCCCATTTTTTTTTTCTGCCCTTTCCCACGTCAGTGATAATAGCCATAGAGTTTCCTAAATATACACTAGAAGGAACTCTGATGCTAGTGTCTACGAGAGCTGCAACGCATGGCAATCCAGCGAGCAAGAGAATGATGGGTAGTACACGGATTTGTCTAATCTTTGTACTTCTGGCTGCGTGTGTTCGTGTGGCTTGGAGCAGTTTACTCACGAAACAAAAATCAACAAATGTTCAGCGGTTGTGCTTCACCACTTTATTCTTTTGGGCTTACATTTCCAAATCGGGTCACGAAGTTTAAAAGTGGTTCGTTCTTTCCTTCAAAACAAAACCTAAACAGCAATAAACGAAGCCACAAGTGCAATTCGCCACCCCCAAGTATGAAACTAAACAAATCCGTGTAGTACCCATCATTTCCATGGTCACTGAACGGTCGTGGCGCCAGAGTCCCCTCTAGTTAATTTCAGGAAACTGACAATAGCAGCCCTTATCGACCAGTGTGATGAACTTTTACTATTCCGCTGGAGGCGGCACTTTGCGGGCAGACAAATCAGACTGTAAGATTGCTACACGCAGTTCACGTAGCACCAAGCACACACAGCGACTTCTACCACTCCACGCACACGACCACATGAGGCAGCAACAGGTACGAAAAGCCGACAAAGCCAGCAAACCGCAGCAAACGATGCTCCATGTTGCTGTGGACCTGGCTACCTAGTCCTCGATTACGAGTCGGCACAGTTTCCCTGCCAGCCTATTAAATATTAAACATGCCCACTGCAAAGTCAGCTCTTGTGGTTTGTTTTTAAAGATGTAGTTACTGTTAACTAAATGAACTTTATGTTGGGACACAGCAGTCACATGTACCGATGAGAAAACCATCTTCATCGTTATGATGACCAGCATTTTCTTTTGTAAACAATGATGGTGGCAGCTGATCAAGTGCGCTGTGACAATGGTTTTGTGCAATTTAAGTGCACCAAAAACGCACATGAGTAGTTTAATGTTCCGAGAATGAACTATTTACGCACTCTCGTTGCAAAAATTTTATTAAAAAGGGACTGCGGTTAAAATATGTTTTGTAGGTGCGAGTTACGAAATGCAGCGACTCTTATGGGCATTCGCCGATGCTCCAAAAATATTTCGTTGTGGGCAGAATTTTGTTCCCTCGAAATTTCGTTATCGTAGGTTTAGACTGTACAGAAATCCAAGGAATGCACGTACCGATACACTTGACGTGCGGTGTATACAGGAGCAAACCAGATACACAGTATTTCAGTCACGAAGGACGCAACATATATACAAAAAGAATATTGACGAAGTCCCAACAATCGGGACGTGGTGTTTCAGACCAGCATTTCCAGTGCACATAAATGAAGAAATAATGTTGTCTTTGTTATACAATGCTAAGCATGTGCTAGTAATAAATTTTAGGTTCGAAGTGAACTCAAAGCGAATAGTGACTGGGTCAAATAGTAACTAAACTAAAATAGTATAAATCATGTCATGACCCAATTAACCCGCAGAATATTTTTTTGAGTGAAAACAAGGCAATGCGAATTTCTCCAAGATAGGTGTAGTCATGGTAGAGCACTCTTTCAATGCCGTTAAACAACCTTTAAGCAGGAAAACACCTGAAAAGAAAATGCCAGTAGCAACGCCGCCTTAAGATTTGCGCACCAAAAACCGTGACGTAAGAAATTTTAAAGGCGTCTACCGAGTTTGACAAAGCTTTCAATGAATAAAAATGGAGCAAATTGTAATCTGTGGGTGTCGTAGACAGCATATGAAGTTTCAGAAATTTTCATCGAGCCAATTCCACGAAAATGCCGAAATGGATTCTGTAGTTTCTTAAGTCAGGCGCGGGAAATTTTGGCGCAAGATTTAAGGATGAAACTTAAACCTCGATTTTCTCCCTAAAAATGAACTTATGACAGTGAAACATATGGCATTCTAAGAGTGCAGTTTGTTAATCTAAACGAAGTCATTGTTCCTGTTTAGTTCGTGTCCATCTTGTCTCTGTGTCGTCGTTTTGTTCTCGCGCTATAACTACCATCGTCCTGTTTAGTGTCCCTTTAAGCTGTGCGAGGCTGTCCGCAGGCCTGATAAGATGCACTGGCACAGAAACACCAGTAAGTATAGGAGACATGCTAAGAGGAGTTCCTTGATTCAGGCAGGTCTTACATGAAAGAATGGCCCTGTGCTAAGAACATTTTATTTGCATCTTAGATGTATAGTGTTAGATGTAAAAAAAAGCCTTCCTTCGAGTCAACAACACACAGAAGCACAGATAAATAACCCCGCGAAAAGAGGAAGTGCCAGCGGAAACAGACACCAACAAGGAATGACACGCGCACACTCTCTTGTATTGACCGACAAACTATTGATTAAGAAATAACCACCCAACCCAAGAAATAACTATTACCTGTATCATCCAGATCATCCTCCTCGTACCCCTCAGGCAGGTCTTTCACTGTCAAAAGGGATAAACTGCAAAGCAAGGAAAAAAAAAGATTAATCTGCAGGGCAAAGAACAAAAAGAATAATCCGCATAACAAAAATCACTTCACCCATATATGCCAAAATTCAGAGGGCTTAAAACGTTGCCTTTCCAGTGCCCTAATTGCCACAAAATCAGAAGCTGCTGCTGCTGTTGGCACCATTACTGCAGTCACTCTTAGGATCAGAGGCATGTAAAGACGACCAACCATGTTTGAATTGTCTGGTCAAAGCTATTTTCAGCATCAGAGCAGCCAAGCTTAGGTCCTATAGAAATGTACGGGTTGCTGCCTGTGACCATCGAGACAGATTTGACCGAAAAAGAGCATTAACCGAAGTAAAATGAATTCAAGACTATTGTACTGCAAATGTTATACTCTCAAGCCAATTCAAACTTTCGCATGAAGCTGCCACGGGACAAAAATATCTTCATTACTTTCATTACATTATATGCCTAAACACACTAATATTGACAAAAAGAAATCATGTGGCCTGCAAAATCAAAGTATGCTGCTTTAGACGAGCCAGTAAAGAGTAGTATCTATGAACCCTAGTGCTCAAATATTCCAGTGCTCAAAATAGGTAAATATTGCAGAACATTCAATGCTGCATATACAATGAGCTCAGGTATGAACATTGGTTTATCGAGCATTTCAAAACAACTTCTGTAACGGGAACATATCAGATGAACAAACTTGATCTGCACACCCAAGCTTACTTTTCAAAAATTGAGTTTCGCGCTCCGCAGCATGGGCACAACCAACGCGTGCCACCCCCAAATTGCCTCGCCCATTTTTCAGCAGCGGTGAAACACCGTTTTTGCATGCAAACCCGCCAAGGCTAAGCAGTTGTGCAGGAAAGAAACATTATATAGCAGCCAGTACAAGAAGGAGTAAAATCTAGGTTACATTGTAAGAAAGAAAGACAAAAAGTCTGCATGCACATCCAAAAAATCAAATGTCTACATACTTTTCTGTAGGCGTCAACTTCAAGTTGCCATGAGATTTCAACGACTCCTTCAGTGACGAACCGTAAGTGACCCTGGAAAAATTGAAGCGTGTGAATATTATCAAGAAACTCATTTGTGAATAGCGGCCTTTATTACACAGAAACAGCTTTACCAGAGCACAACTTTGCAGTCATAACATTTTTAAACGAACCCCCTACAATGGATGCCCGAAATTTAAAAAAATACAGAGATGGCAAAATTCAAAGTATCACACTAAATGGCGAAAGAACTCACTCTATCTCAAGCTTGTGCTCTGGCAGATCGTCCAAGAGGAAGCAGGGAAAGTTGCTAAAGGAATCCAGCCGCTCTAGAAGGAGCATGCTGTGAGGATGCGTTTTGGTAGCCACTGCAGATGAAACTTCTGAAAGAGCAGAATGAGTGAAGAAAACAACCTCAAATAAAATTGCAACTCGGGTCACATCAGGAAAAAAGAAAACTTTCTTGGGATTATGGGAGCTTCTGAACGACTAGCACAGTTTCAGAAACATGCTGAAGATGTGTAAGACTGAGAAGCTTCCCGCCACCTTTCCGCAAAAGTTCACCGATTAGTGAATGCACTACACTAACCTGAACTAAAAAAAAAAAAAAAAAGACTTCGGCCACAGCTTTGTGGTCTTGTCTACAGCTGCAACACCGTACCATAGAAGAAGCCAAACCACGGAACTATAAAAAGCGCATTTGTGATTTGTTTGAACTTCAGTACTTCTTAATTTACCCATTAATAGTGACATGGTCACAGGCAGCTTCTCCTAGCAGTTCTGTGGTACCAGCGCCCACAGCTTTGTGGTCTTGTCTACAGCTGCAACTCTGTACCATAGAAGAAGCCAAACCACGGAACTATAAAAAGCACATTTGTGATTTGTTTGAACTTCAGTATTTCTTAATTTACCCATTATTAGTGACGTGGTCACAGGCAGCTTTTCCTAGCAGTTTTGTGGTACCAGCGCTAATCGCGGTACTCACACAGACAAAGCTGCGACCATGCCATTGCAGTCAGAGTCGCCTGCCACAACAGTCACCGAGAAAATTTCCTGCGAAGCTGCCTCAAGCCACCAAACATCGACCACCACAAAGCTGCCCGCTGCCTCCACTAGAGAAAATTGAGACAGCTTCCCTTGCAATGTGGCAGCGAAGCCAAAGCCGTGGACAACCGCGACACAGTCACTGTCATCTTCCAAACTCATCATCAGCAAAGGTTCTAGCCAAGCTTCAGCGTCTACGATATAGCCAATGCCAGCTGCCAGAAACAACTTAGACAAATTTCTAAATGGATTTTCGGCATGCCATGGCCAAGTCCGGCCACTCTCGAAAAACCAGTGCCGTCTACCTAGAGGCACTGTCGACAGCCCAGACGCGCGCAATCATGGCCGAGTGTCATGAGGAAAAACTACAGCGGGGCTTAGGTGCGCGGCAAGCGGAAGCAAAGCAGAGGAAGACGAGGTAGAGAATAGAACAGCTTGCCCGACGAACAGGTGCTGTATCAGTCTCGCTCATGACAGTAGGCATGGTTTTGACAATGACAAACTTGTAGACACATGCATCAGCTTTCCAAATGAATAGTAAAGGTGCTACTCCTGCAAAATGAGGTAGGGCTGCTTACCTTTCTGCAAAGCCTTGAATTCTTCCATTTTGGATCTCAGCTGCTTTAGCTGCAAGAGCAAATGAAGAATGTCAAAATATGCTGCTCTTCCTGAAAACCTTTTCGATTATTTGTCTTACCGACCAATTAGTGTGGTCTCTTTCTCACCTGCTCCTGCACACCCTGCATGTGTTGTTCACTGGCCTTCTTGAGGTCCGCTAACAACTGGTTTGAGCTGCACAAAGGGTACAAAACAATTCTGAGCAAGACTGTTATCCAAAAGAAAATGAAGCAAGAAAACTGTCGCTCAGTTTCAGATTCATTGATGATTTCTCATAGAAAGCAAGAGTATACTAGTATTCTGCAGCGAAAGCAGAATGTCTTCCATTTTGATCTTTTTCAAATTCCCTGAATTTTCCAGGTTGTCCATGAGGATTAAAAGCAAATTCCGTGACTGTCATGTCTGCTTGGAAAACGCTGTGCACAGGAAACAAACCCTCAAGTTAAAAAAGTTGAAAACTAAGGCACTCATATAGAATAAGTAAACATACTTACCGTACATGCTCAGAATGTTCAGAGTGTGTGCGGTACATATGAAAAAGTACATCTGGCCAAAATGAAACATCTGAGCCAGGCAGTGAGCAAGTTGGCTGTTGGATCTTCGGAAAAACCAGGAAGCAAAATCACGAGCTAAAATTAACCACCACTGAAAGTTTAAAGGAGCTCGTAATAGTCTGACAACGCAGCCAAAACTGCTACGAAACGTATAAATTGTGCTTTCTCACGGCATTCGCGTAAAAGAAGGATGCGGGAGCCCAGCCGGTTCCGCCACTGGAGTATATTCTAGTTCAATATATTGGCTGCAGCCCAGGCCGCTCAGGATGTAGACTGGATTGGATTAGATTGACGTGGACTGCTGTATACACTATTGATATGCATTCCCGCCTAATTTGCACACATAGAAAATATACTTTTCAGCAAAAAAAAAAAAAAACAGCTACTAATGTATTCTGTACCCCTCACCTTGACAACTAAAGACAATGTCGCAAAAACGAAGCTGTACTGCAAATTTTTTTTTTCCTCAACGGACAAATGCGTGTTGGTGTTTTATTTCTCTGAACTTCGACACTTGGAGCATGATGGAAGTTCTCAGATGCCCACAATGAAAACTGGGGGTAGCGTTTAAAGAGCTGACATTTGAAAAATGTGACAGCAAGAAGAAATCTGTCAGGTCGGAACAGCTACCTTATTACATGGAGGAATCATGAATGCCAGTGTGTAACCTTAGTTTACATACTCTTATATGGACGTGATGCTAAGAAATAAACATAGATTTAAAAAAAAACACTTTCAAGAAACTGAAATGAGAAATATAGCTGAAAATGCCCAATGATACCCTTGAAACGCAAGCTACTAGTAATAGAAGTGTAGCTGAGGACGTTTGCCATTGCATCGCCACTCATAAAAAAACTAACAGACAGTTACAGTATACCAAGCTTAGCAGGATTGTGGGCTTGCTGTGATAGTGGAATTCAAGTGCACATTTGCAGATACGTACAGTGGCCGTATGTTACCCGTACGCACGCTATTTTTCAGATGCCCGCTCCGAAGGGATTTGAGCCTATTTGTCGAAATATTCTCTTCAATAGTAGCAAAGGACTGTTTAAAATAGCTTCGCTTGCTTTCAGTTCGCTTTCATGACCGAGTATTAAAGATAAGCTAGTAAAATTTTTGAGATAGCTTGTAGTGTACAGGTATCCCGAAGGATTACGGCCACTAGCGTGGGTTCGGTCCTAGCGAGCCGCAGGGCACGCGTTAACCGTCGCCATGGCGAGAACACAGTACTGCTCAAGGCCGCAACACTTTATTGCCTGCGGCAACAGCAAAACACAGTACAGAGCCTGTTGCAAAGGCGCGGCGGGAAAGCAAATGGGCTTATCCACACCACGAGCGAGAAGTACTACACAGGGGTGCCGCGAGCACGTCTCCATGGTAAAAGTGATTCACGGAGACACCGGGACAGAGGCCCAGTTGCTCGAGCGAGGGCAAAGGCGCTCGCGTTGGCTTCGGAGAGATACGGGTCCGGCGCAGCCTGGCCATGCACTAGGACACCGCACCGCTTTTCAGCCTAGCGTTCGCAAGGGGCAACAAAAGGTGAGCGTTCGCCGTTGGCGAAGTCCGACGAGCCCCAAACAATAGGAGTCGACAGAGGGAAAAGAGAATGCGTGCTCACCGTCAGCTGTCCCGAGAGACTTTGCGCACGACGCCATTGTCGACATCCGCTACCGGGTGAGAGGAGTTAAACGTCACTCTGCGCTCCCCCAGCACAGCAGACAACGGAGGAGGGGAGTCATGTCGGGACATGAGAACGGCAGAAAGAGATGGCAAAGCCCGCGCAAAGGCGGCGGACTAGCCTCGATTCCCACAAGCTTCTTATTTCAAATGCTTCTAAGCCTAATTAGAAGATCGATGTAAACAAATCGGGGGCATAAATGTCTTTGCATTTGATGTGCGGTTCATATTTTTTACTTTTATTATTACTAAAATAAACTTTTAACAATGCTTTGCACAGTGACACAGGCAAACATTGCCGTTTTCCTTTTCACTGTTCTTTAAGTTATCAATCCTCTGATAGATGGCACCACCATCCCAGCTGGAGCACGTAAAATGCAAAAACGCTATCCCGCTAAACTATAAGACGCCGTCCGCAACGTAACACCATTCCCTCAACCTACGCTATCACACTAACTGTAAACTATACCTATCTAATAACAGTAATGGCACGACATACATGGCAAGTTACTGCTGATGGGAGTTCTAGCCTAAACAGAAGGCCTTCAAGCTAAGCTGAAATTGTGGCCAAAATAAACAAGCACAAATTTAGCTACACGAGTAATGTTGAGGTTCGAAAGTCATATAAGCTGTGTGATGCAACAGATATCTAAATAGTTCATGTAGCAATATGGAAGCTAAGAAATGCTATAGTCAATGTGAAGGACAAGTTGCTGAGCCGAAATCTCCCCGGTCTTGTTTACGTCATAGGCTCCCGTGATTGTGACAATCAGTACAACAATGAAACCAGTGATATCAAGAAGAGTTAAACAACATGAACATGATATCACGAAGCTATGCTTGGCCTCGAATACCTTTGCTAAAGACGTGAAATCTAAAAGCCGTCAAATTGACTAGTCAAGCGCCCAGTCACGCACTGCACCACGTGGGTCTCTAGCGGTGAGTCAAATCGGCGCCACCGCCTTCGCATTTTTATGTTTGTTGTTATGTTAATTGATTGTAGTGGAATATTGGGTAAGGTTGTTTTAGCTTGTTGAGTGATGCATGTTAATTCGGCTGAAGATGTCGTCGTTGCGAGTGCAATTAAATAAATGTGTTGTTTGGATCGCTCCGACTGCATCTACTGTGTCCGTGCTCTCCGAGAGCGCGTACTTCTTTCGAGATCCCTCAGAGGCAGGAGAATTTCCCCAAAGGAAAGAGAAACAATGTAAAGCAAGGAAACAGGTCAGACCTACTGCATAGTGTTGAATTCAGAAGTAACTTATACGGTACTGTACTTGAATAGCGCAGCAATCCACAACATCCTGGATTTTCTGTCACGGTGTAGCTGAGATGAGCAGTTTTACAATTGAATTACAACCTCAGGACAACTAGCTGATCTAAGTATGTGCCCCAAGAACGGCAACATGAAATGGTTTTCTTTATATGCAGCAGAATCTCTGTGGTATTGATCTCAAGGGGAAGCCCAAATATCACGCCCAAAATTTCTAATCATCCGAAAAAAACTAGCAAACATTTTTTTCAAAACCTAATGTGTACAGAAACACTACACTCTACCTAAGGAACTCGTGTAAGTCTTTCTAAGACACACAAACGAACCCATAATGAATGGCGCAGCTGGGTGCCGCAAACGTGAATGTCCGTCATAAGTTAACAACGGGAACACCAAAATGATTCATGCCTTTTACAACTTCATTGCCTTCTACCGCTGTATACCTTTGGAGCTGCATAGGAACTATTAATGATCGCATAAATAGTGACTGCAGTTTCATGCATAGCAGCTATGGCAAACCATAGTCCAGTTTTCCATCCATATGCTGGACTGTGTGCTGAAAACAATGTACAGTTGAGTCTCGATAATTCAAACTCGAAGGGGCCCGAAAATTTGTTCGGATTGAAAGAAGTTCAAATTAATGAAAGCTAAATAAACGAAGGGCTCTCTATGCAGTGGCGCATGTGCGTTGAGCTAACACACAAGGGGGAAGTTTCAGAAGATTTACATTTATTCACAAATCACAGGACATTGGTTATTAATTGAAGTAATCGGTGATGCCCGTCTGCACACGTTTGCCGTGCAGCGAGTCAATTAATTTCACACACAGCTTGCAAAGCATTTCTACTTCGGCTTCAGCATTCTCCTTGCAAGAGAAGTTGCACGCGGAAACGTCCAGCGCCGACACTTTCTGAAGATAACAACGACTGCGTAGAGAAGCCTCCTGCTCTCCGCTACGCAGCCGCAGCATGGCCAGCACGTGACGAGAAAGGAGGAGCGTCTCCACGCGAAGAGAAGCAGATCGGCATTTGAGAGAAAAACAACACTCCATGGAAGCAATTTTTTTTTTTTGCTTTCTTTGCATGCGTTGGTGAAAGAAGAAGGGTTAGAGGCAAGGACGGAAAAAGAAGAAGCATGGCACCAACGCGTGAGAGACACCCCCCCCCCCCCCTCCAGGCGCAGAGCCGTGCTCCCGCAAGGGGCAAGGGCTGTAGAAGATAGTGCCTTTTTCCTTTCCTTCAACCACACATTCATTAAACCCAGCGACAGCTTTTTTTTCTTTTTTTTTCCTCTCTCTCTTCGCGCACGGCGTTGAAAGAAGGGTCTTTACATGGCAGGGACGGACAAGGGGAAGCATGACATGGGCCCGTCGCAGATCGGCATTTGAGAGAGAGCAAACATTCTACTGCAGCCTTTTCTTTCCTTTTCATTTCCATCGCGCGCAGCGTTCAGGTGTCGCAGGTGCCGCCGCTGGACTGGGCGGGGTGCTGAGAGCATTTTCGGAGCGCGGAATGTTCGAATTGACCCTCGCAAGTGCTTGCGTGTTCGAATTACTGGGCGTTTTCGCCCATTAGAATACACATAGCTTTGACGGGACCTCATCATGAGTTCGAATTAACCGTGTTCGAATTAAGAAGATTCGACTGTAGTTAGTTGTTATCGATAATCACATATGTCGCTGCTAAGCGGAAGTGCCGTGGCGAGAAGAATTATATGCAAATGTCACGTATGGAAAAGCAAGGCCCCAGTCAGAGTGCTTGGAAGAAACATACTTTGCAAGCGTGTCTATCAGAGTTCGATTCAGACGCTCCGTGAGTGAGCTTGTGCCTCGTTTCACATGACTGTAGGATATCGGCTATGACCTTTGATGGAAAAGTGCGGCCACGGTCTGTAAGCAGCTGGCGTAGAGCTCCATGTTGCAAAATCACGTCATGTAGGAGAAAGTCGGCGACATCTGTAGCACAGCTCGTTGAAAGTGCTATGATGGCGTAGGGTGTGGCGTAGTTTGTGGCTACAGCTATCCACCTGTTGCCAGAAGAAGACAAGTAAAAAGGACCCAGGAGGTCTAAGCCAATGCGGAAGAAAGGTTATGAAAGGTCAAGTGGTTGAAGATGTCCGGCAGGAAGTGTCGGTGGTGTTTTGCGGTGCTGACATTTATCACAAGCCACAACGTATCTTCTGATTCAGTGTGAAAGCCCTGGCCAAAAGAAGCGTCAGCGAATCTGGTCGTGATTGATACACCAAGGTGACCGGCAGTTGGAAGGTCATTAAGTTCGTAGAGAACTACCGAGCGAAGGTGTTTCGGAATGATGAGCAGCTGGGTTGGTCCATCTGGGTAGAAGTTCTGGTGGTACAGGACGCCATCATAAAGGACGAATGAGCGATGGGACCTGTCGGATAATGGTGATTCAAGACGTTCAATTATAACACGCAAGGATGCATCCCGGGGTAGCTTATCACCAATGCGGGTCAGTTGCGAAACGGAAAAGACACAAGTATTGGTGTCTGCGTTAGAGATGGTGCTCAATTCATCGATTGGGTAGCGGGACAGGCAGTCTGCGTCCTGATGTAGGCACGTCTTGACTTGTACATGACTGTATAGGTATATTCTTGCATTCGCAGAGCCCAGCGCCCAAGCCGACCAGTAGGATCCTTCAGTGACGAAAGCCAACAAAGTGCATGGTGGTCCGTTATTACAGAAAAATTCGTGCCATATAAATATAGGCGGAACTTTGTGACTGCCTAAAGAAAAGCAAGACATTCATGCTATGCAATTGAATAGTTGCGCTCGGCAGCTGTGAGAAGGTGGCTAGCGTAGGCGATAACTCGGTCGTGTCCTCGCTGGCATTGGGCTAGGACGGCTTCAGTCTTGTGACCACTCGCATGGCTTTCGACTTCTGTCGGAGCAGACGGGTCAAAGTGGGCCAATATAGGTGGAGTCGTAGTCAATAGTCGTAGTCAATATAGGTGAGAAAAAGCGGCAGCTTAAGCGGAACCCCACATAAAAATTACGTCTTTCTTCGGAAGGTCGGCGAGTGGTCGAGCGATTGTTGCAAAATCTTTCACGAACTTTCTAAAATAGAAACGAAGTCCCACAAAACTCCCGACGTCCTTGACAGAATGGGGTACAGGAAAGCTCGTGATGGCGAGAATTTTCTCCTGGTCAGGCTGCACACCTGATGCGTCGACAAGGTGGCCCAACATCGTAATCTGCTGGCGGCCGAAGTGACATTGCGACGAGTTTAGTTGAATGCCAGCAGTGCGGAAGATCTTGAGAACCGCTGACAAACGCTGAAGGTGTGTCTCAAACATAGGCGAATATACAAGGGCGTTATCCAGGTAGCAGACATGTTGACCACTTGAACCCTTGCAATAGCAAGTCCATTATATGCTCGAACGTGACTGGGGCGTCGCATAGCCCAAACGGCATCACCTTGAACTGGTATAGGCCGGCTGGAGTTACAAACGCAGTCTTTTCTTGGTCTTCCTTGTCCACCGCAATCTTCCTATAGCCAGAACGTAGGTCAATTGAAGAAAAGTATCGCGCACCGTGAAGACAATCGAGGGTGTCATCAATGCAAGGCAAAGCGTAAACATCCTTTCTCGTGATTCGATTAAGATGGCGGTAATCAACGCAGAAGCACCTTGTGTAATTTTTTCTTAACGAGCACAACAAGAGATGCCCAAGGGCTCGAGAAGGGTTCAATAATTGTTCGGCTAGCTTCTTGTTGACTTGTTCTTGAATTACTTTACGCTCCGTGGCAGACACCCGGTATGGTCGGGGATGAATGGGAGGAGAATCAGCTATATTAATGCGGAGCTGACAATCGGGAGACATGTCCGGTTAGAGGCCATGGTTACAACGGAGTGTGGTACAGTGATATTGCGCGCCAGGAGAGCATCAGGAATAGGCGTGCCGACATAATCACTGTCAATAACAGGGCAACTTGTTGCCAATTCAATGAATTTGAGGGCTTTTGGTGGTATGCGACTGAAGTCTGTGGTACAGAGGCTTTTCGGCAGCTCTGGGCGAGAATCTGGAAGAAGCAGCTTTAAACAGAGAGTGCTGGTGGAATAGTCGATCAGGGCAGAATGCGTTGATAAGAAGTCCTTCCCGAAGATGAGGTCATGAGGGCAATTGTCGAGCACGGTAAATAAAACAGGAACGTGGCAGCCGGCAAGGCTAATACAAGCGGTACATATTCTAATGACGGCCACAGTTCCACCATCGGCGACAGGGAAGGCTTGTGTTGCGGCAGGCGTGAGTATTTTTTTTGAGGCAGCGACAGACGCAAGCACTCATTATAGACACCTGAGCTCCAGTGTCAAATAAAGACGTCAAAGAAAGACCATCCCCATTGTAGTGTACACGTATCCCGAAGGATAACGGCTTCTAGCAAGATTTCAGTGCTAGCGAGCTGCAGGGAACGCATTAACCATCGACGTGGCGAGAACACGGTACTGCTCAAGGTCGCAACACTTTATTCCCTGCGGCAACACCAAACTGCAGTAGAGAGCCCATCGCAACAGGGGCAGCAGGAAAGCAAATGGGCTTATCCACGCCCCGGGCAAGTACTACACAGGGTGCCGCAAGCACGTCTCTGTGGGCAAAGGTCCGAATGAGCCCCAAACAAAAAGAGCCAACGGACATAAAAGAAATGCCGTCTCGAAGAGGTTCTCTCTAACTCCCGACGCATGCATCCAAAACGTCCCGAGAGGCTTCGCGCACAGCACCACAGTCGACATCCGCAACCAAGGGAGAGGGGTTAAACGGCACTCCTCGCTCTCCCAGAGCGACAGACCACAAAAAAGGGGAGTCTTGTCAAGACACGAGAGCGAAAAAAGAGGTGGCAAAGCCCACGCAAAGGCGGCAGGCTAGCCTAGATTCCCACAACATGCACTTCCAGCTAGTTATTAGTAGGGAGCGTCAACGGAGGATTTGGGTCAGTCACACTTGATGCAGCACTACCTCCAGGAGCTGCATGATCTAGTTTTCTGTCCGGGAGGATCCATAGTTAGTCGGCGATGAATATCGGCGGGGTTGGGGCGACAGAACGGCGGCGTTGCAGTGACGGTGAACGAGCGGTAGAGCGGCTGTTAGGTGCGTCGGAGGCAGTATATTCACGGCTGGGCAAATACTAACGGGTGTCTGTGTATGGGTGAGGAGAAGAAAATTGGCTCCAGAGGGGAGGGGGGGGGGCGTCCAAGCGCTGCGGCAGTAGCAGAAGTCGCACACGAAGGCATTCTATGCAATCTCATGGTCAGTCCTTATGTGATAGCAATGACACCACGTCTGACTTTCCTGATGAGACGCTATTGGCAACGCGGTTTCAGTTTCAGTTCTGATAGCGATGACACTGCGTCTGACTTTTCTGATGGAAGGCTATTAGCAACGCAGTTTCAGTTTCACGCGCAAGCAATTTTTTAACTCTGTTCTTCGGGAGAAAGATGCGAGTTGCATTCAATTTTTTAAAGTTGAGAATAAAGATTCGTCTGCACCTGCTTAAAGTAAGTAATGCTGCCATTGGCAAGCATAACTGAATCTACCTTTTTAGCAGAAGCACAAGGTCGTGACGTGGGCTTGTTCAGGCGGTCTGCACCAGTTCTATTGGGCAAGGCTGAATGACACGACCTCCTTAGTTTTTCGATTACGCGATGCTTAGATTATATGATTGTCTTATGTGGTGCCCTGAAGGTCCTATGATCGGGGTTCCACTATATACAAAATGGCCAGAAACACTATCATGTGTGTCTAATTTAGCTGTAGAGCTAAGTTACCAGTTAAGAGCATACGGCAAGCTCATTTTCTTAAAGTACTGCTCTTCACTAAGCGCTGGTTACATTTGTTTGCACAATCTAGGGGAGTGGTTGAAAAAAGTGGAGTCTCCAGGACGTTGTGAAAGGACAGGAAAACATGACAGACATCCACTTGAATAATTACATAACAGACACTTTCACAGCAGGAATTCACAAATGCATTGCAGGTTTGGTTATCGAATGAGACAGCTCAGCGTACCGAAGCTGCAGGAGGGAGTGCAAATGCTGAAATTCAAACTGAATGTTCTCCGCCAATTGGTTGTAGTGGTTGTCAGAGCTCCTGCAGATGGCCTCAAGTTTCTGCAAATAAATAAACACAGACATTTAAGATTGGCAGAAGCATATTGCAACAAACTCCACAGGGGTCTTGCATGTCTAAAGCAATTACGATTATCAAGCACATCATGAAGACAATCTCAAGATTCATTCTGACTGCCTGCGATTTTTAAGCACGCAGCTAAATTTAAAGCATGCCACAGCCTTACTATATGCTCACCCTACCAAAAAAAAGTAAGGCTGCAAAAACAAAGTGCCAGTATGCAATTTTGACTCAAAAGGCTCTGCACAAAATTCTTGAACAGCAAGACCTCTACAAAGTCTGTGAAAGGTGACCATCGAAAAGCCAAGTTACAAGACGTTTTGTTGAACAAGGCACACTGCTAAACATTTTCATTTATTCTGCATGCAATACCCAAGGGATTTCTTGCAACTGTAAAAACACCAAAAAAGCATGAGTACAACTACACCATTAAGATAAAAATGTGCACCACATGCAAGAGACACAGCGGCACACCGCCTCAGAGCACCTATGGCTAGCCTGGCACAATATGTAATACGGTATAGACCACTTATAACAAATATGCCTGGAGTTGAGAGTATCTGCACTATAACCAAAGAACCTTTTTGAAAGGCTACAAAACATGTTGCACCAGCAGCCGCGCTTGTTCAAGAATCGAGGCATGCAACACGGGCTGCTTACTACAATTTCAGTATTTGAATGTCCAAAAATTAGAATCCGAAGACCTACGTAGCCAACAAAATAAACGAATAAAACACATCACACATAAAAATTTAAAAAACTGACAAAAGAAAGCGCCATCTCGGAAATTCACCAACTATGCTTCAGACCAACTCAATTATAAGCATTGCACAGGAACTTTGTTGAATCGCGACCAAAATTCGGCATGCTGAATGGTACTTCTTGCTTTTTTTTTTTCTCACGCCTTCAAATAGGCACCCGCCGGCGCTGCCGGCAGCGTGTTTCGCTTGCCTACATGCCGGCCTCTAAACGGCGGAAAAACACGAGCACGGCAACCGCTGCCGCTCACGAGAACAACAAAAAGTGTGTGCATGCCTAAAACAACCACAAAGATATTTGTGTCATTAGTAAACAGAACTTTATGAAGCCTGCGAAAACTGCACGCAGTTTCATTTTTCGACTTTCACCGGCACCGACTAATGTTGTGGGCAAGGCTAGACACTTGAAATGGTACGCTTCTTATTGCGACACAAAACAGGAGAGCAATGAAGGACTGTAGAGAGTCCCTTTAATCTATGCTACTGTAAATACTGCTTGTAGTACTGTAAGTACTGCTTGAAAAACTACAACGAAACTCAATAAGTGAAACGACCTTGCATACCTTGACAGTTCTTCTGATGCCATTGTAAGGTCTCATAGCTTTGTCCAGGGCTGGTTGCAGCTGCAAGATGGATATCTTGTTCTGGAAAAACAAACGGCACATTACAACTTTCAATAAATTATCAATATACAAGCAAACTTGAATAATCGTAAAAAAGCTGCTTTTGTTGTACCCAAATCGGCCACTGGTTAATTCTATGAAGGTATTGTTGGCAGCAACTAGAAACATTTACAGCTATTTTTAAACAACATATTTCAAAAAAGGCAATGCAAGACATTGTTGTGACATAAACCTGAATATTGTCACACCGTCGTGACATAGAGGAAGGCAGCAGCAGACTTCTTCAAGGTGAAACTTTATTTGACCGAACTAGGGGCCATGTAACAGAAAGTCAAGTTACAGCTACCAATGCACGCTGCACACTGATATCTGCACAGAGTGAATCTGTCGCCGATAAATTATCCTCGTTGGAACGCACTGTCCTTTACACATCATATGTCGAACTTTCCAGCCTTATCACTTGTGGTCGCGCAAGCTCTGAAATAATCTTGAGTGTTCGCGTTTTGTGCACTACCTTATAATGATCTACAGTCAAACTTCGCTACAGCCAATTCACAGGGATTGCAAAAAATTCCATTGTAGTGGAAATTTCTTTATCGTGGAAAAAGTATAAATAAAAGGAAAGAGATATGCACAACACTCAGGAGGCAGTTTATTTCCAAAACAAAAAAAAAACACTTATTTTTGACTGCTTGTGCTTTCACACGAGCAGCGGCAGAATGCGCTGCTCCCATTCTGTGAAGAGCTTCATGGCGACATCATCGTCATGGGCACCAAGGAAACGACGCAGGATGTCCAAGGAGTTCATGACCTGCGACGCGGTGACTGGTGTCGGCGCCGCCGAAACACCATGCGCAGCTTCGTCGTCGTCGAATGAAGTGGCGGTGGCGGTAGACGTGTGATTCCTCCCGAGGATCTTGGCATCACTCAGCTCCTTGCACAATCACATAGGCATTGGCATTAACATAATCGCTCAGGGCAACACTCTTGACAATGCTGGCATCGTCGAGAGCTGCCCATGCTGCGGAAAACAGTTCTTAACATCTTAACACTGTGCCATTATCCATGCGGTGGCCAACTTTTGCACAGCCACCAACAAGTAGATTTTCATGTTGCGGCCATACTCAGTGTTCAACAGATTTCATCGAAGTAGCCTCGATCAGTATGGGTGCTAATTTAAGCTGTTGATGATGCCTTGATCTAAAGGCTGAATAAACAACGTGCAGTTTGGCGGAAGAAACTTCGCCGCAACGTTCGTCATTGCTGTCCAGGCGATGTGCTGAGCAATTATCCAGCAGCAAGCAAACACTGCAGTCTTGCTTTTTCATGTCATTGTCGAACGCAACGATCCAGTCAGTGAAAATGGCCCTCGTCATCCATGAACGGCCATTGGCAACGTACTTCACTGGCAGGTTTTTCGTGCCCTTGAAGCATCGCGGTTTGGCGCTCTTGCCGATAAAGAGAAGGGGCCATTGGTCGGACCCGCCCACAAAGCATCACACAGGGGTGAAAGCGGGCTTCAGCCTTTTGGAGCAGCTTTGAGAGCAGGAATAACATGGTTTTGGAGCAACTTTGGAGCAGTAAAAGGGGTGTTTCAGAGCAGCTCTTGAGCACCAAAAGGCATGTTTTGGAGAATCAAAATTGAGTTTTGGAGCAGATTTCTTGGGTCACACACCACTGTTAATTAGAATTTTCATTTTTTCCTTGCTTTCTCATCAAAACAGAAAAAATTAGTAGTTTTTAATAACAAGCATTTAAGGCTGATCAAGTGACCAGACTTACCTCAAATTGATATATATTTTAAAACTTACAACATTAAAGCTAAAAGCATAGGAACTAAAAAAAATTACATAAGCAGCACTCTGGACAGCTACTCAGAGGAATAAAAGAATTTATGTTAAAATGTTGCAATGCTCAAAATGTGATTCGAGTCGAACACCGCATCTAACATGAACGGCAACTCAAGGCTAGAGATGAACTAATATAATAAAAGTTATTTTCATACTAATCCAATAGGGCTCTATAAAAATAAATGTAAAAAGCTTATGTTGTGGTCATTGAAGTGCCACAGCCAAGAAAAGCAAAGAAATTTAGACATGCAAGTAAACCTCTACTCCCCCACCACTCAGCGCATTCAAAACTAGTGAACACAGGGATTGCCAAGCTTTGCTCTACGAGTGCCTTGAAGAAGTCGTGCCACCATATGGTACAATTCAATTTTTGCCAGCAACGAAGGAAGCTGCTGGATACACGGTTTCCTCAGTCTTTGCTAGTTTCCGTGGCTGAATGTATCTTGAAGGACTGCAAAAATGAAGCCCTTCCTGTTGCAAGAACAACTGAGCAAGGGAATCGCACAAGGGTAATACCTTGCGTACACGCGGTTTCCCATAACCAGAAAAAGATTACACAGCGGGCCATAATTTGTGTGCCTTTTTCAGCACAAATAAGTTGGAACGGCTGTGCAAGATCACTATGAGAAATGCAAACGAAAGGATGGGGTGCCGAACAAAGCACAAATACAAGTTTGTTGATTGCGCTTTGTGTATAGTGTACTGCCTGCTGCTATCTTGCGGTCGCTGCTACATCGGTTGAACCGAGCGTTGCCTAAATGAACAGCTGCATGACCACCATTAAAATGTTAGAGATGTGGCAGGTGGTTTCTTAGCAGTGCACTTTAAGAAGTGTGGTTGTTTTCCTCTGTTTGATAAACGCAGAATTTGGCGCGAAACAGAAATCGGCTTGCACGTAAAATCATAGAAGCCGCGAAGATAGGGCAGACGGTTGACAAGTGTATTAGCATGCCCTCTATCGCACTAACAAGAAAGGAATTTGATTTTCTTGGTGTCTGTCTTGATGCCTAGCAATAATCCTGTTCTACTGCACAATAGATGTGCGCATATTTATTGTTTTTTCGGCCCTACAAGTAGCCTTGGTTTCGCAAAATAAAACTGTTGAAAGTTGCACTATGTTCGTGTGTGTATGTGCCTTCTTTGCATCCTCATTTTTAGTGTGCCCCGCTGCGGTGGTCTAGTGGTTAAGGTACTCGGCTGCTGACCCACAGGTCGCAGGATCAAATCCGGGCTGCAGCGGCTGCATTTCCGATGGAGGCGGAAATGTTGTAGGCCCATGTGCTCAGATTTGGGTGGATGTTAAGAAACCCCCGGTGGTCGAAATTTCCGGAACCCTCCACTACGGCGGTTTTGGGACGTTGAACCCCACATATCAATCACTCAATCATTTTTAGTGCGCTACTGCTATTCTTAACCATGGAATACCAACAATGTGCCCAGATGTCCACCTTCATCAAGAAAACTGAAACTTCTCTCAGGATCAGTGGCCACATGGCTGAGTCGAATACACTTTTGAAAAACAAATTCCTTAAATTGTACGCCGTATGACAGATAGTGACCGTCAAAGCGAAGCAGCATGTTTTCTGGCAGTGGTTTTGGGTAAAAGGGCGAAACTTGATGCTCTTCTCAACTTTGCAGTGGAGAAGAGCAAAGCATGCAGCTCATTTGCGGCATGAGCGGAACTCTGGTACATGCATTTCTTTACTGTTTTTACTGGATCTATGCTATTGCAGGCGGATCGCATAACCTAGATTTGAAATTGGGAGTTTCAGGATCGACTTACAATCAGCACTGGAGCTGGTAATGGCGGAATGAATAGGAAATCGTGGGCACTGGGGCTTGGTTATAACATTACATTAACTTTAATGCAGTCCGTGCTCAAGCTCTGAAGAAAAAAAAATAATGTGTGCCAATAGTGAAACATTTTTCTAATGGTGTTACGCTATTCAATTCACACTGCAATCTTACTATTCAAAGTACAGTCGACTCTCGTTAATTCAAACTCGGAGGGACCTCTGAATTTTGTTTGAATTATCAAGAAGTTTGAATTATCAAAAGTTCTCAGATAAATGACTTTAGATGAGGTGACACTACACATTATAATTAGCCATTGATTTTATCATATTTTAAAAAATTTTTATGTGTTTTTAAACCCTAACTGCACGCAATCAACAGAAAGCAGAAGAGTAAGGTTCACAAGCTTATAGGCTATTTATTACTGATCAGACCTATTAAAGAAATCATTAATGGCCAACTGCTTCTTTGCTATAGGTATGTGCCTTCAGCACAAAGCCATCTATACCAGTTGAGAAGCATCACAGTTTACCATGCGTGTGTTTGTTTCAAACATTAGTTTACTAGCAAATCCTTTTTCCTTGAAGGTCCGAGGTGCTTATTTTTCATTTTGAGACTGTTATAATTATGCAAGCATGAAAATTTTTAAATAGTAGTGGGAAAGCAGCAGATCCTGGTATGGAACTGCAAAAAGTATGAATTAACCGAATGATAGAGTTTGACTTAAGAGACTTTTAAATACATTGAGTAAATAGAGGGCTGACAAAAACTTAATTTTGTTTGAATGAACGAAAAGTATGACTACTGTATTCGAACTTCCGAAAAATACATATACAGTTAAACCTGAATATAACGAACTTCATAAATTTCTGGAAAAATTCGTTATAAAGAGGATTTCGTAGTATGCAGGATTATATAAAAATTCGGAAAATAAACGCACAAATTAAACAAAAACAGGAGTGAAGGCAGAGATAAACCAGACCTTAATTTTACAGTAATAAACTGCGTTGTTATTGCGATAAAAATTATATGGACGCTCTCGGTGGGTTTTCGCCGTCGCCGCCATGTTCCGTAAGAAGTCCAAATTGATAACACGCTCCCGTGCATTGTAACTTTCACGAGCGAGTAAAAGCGCGCGAGCGCTGCTGAAGCAGAGATCAAATCAGTCCCTATCGCCTGTAAAGTGCATAAGATAACATTTCCCGTGTGTTAGAACTGCCGTCGAATGTTTAAACAGAAAGTAAACCACCCGTCTGGAACGAGCGTGAAACAACGCGGGAAGGGGGGAGGGGAATCGCTCAAGTAGTAATAATGAACTTGGATTTTAAGGGCAGCCGCCATCGCTGGAGCGCTTGCTATCTCGGCGAGTATCAGTGC